GCTATACCCTCCCTACTTTTTCTTTTCTTTTCTTTTTCTATTTCTTTTTTTGGGGAGAGGGCACTTGGATATGAACCTGCACCCCTACTTAAAAGAACCCAAAGCAGAAAATGGGTGGAGGCTGCAATGAGGCCAGTGCTTGGAGCGCTTACCACCTCCTGCTCAATGCGGAAGGCCTAGGATGTGCGGACCACAGGGCTGGGTGAAGGGGGCTGCATCACAGGGGGCTGGGGGGATAAGATGAGCCTTACCCCCCAACTAGGGGCAATGTCTGCTCCCCCTGGGAGATTAACCCCTCCCTGTCTTCATTTTTTCCCTCTTCCTTTCTGTTTGCATATGTGGTAGTTTGGGCCAGGGTAGGAACTGGATTTATCAGCAGGAAGCAAGTGCAAGGGAGAGGCTGGGCTTCGGGGGCTCAGGGGAGACCAGGGGATCAGGGCCCGAGGGAGGGGCTGCTGGGCCAAAGGCTGTAGTGTGATCCTTGGAGACTGGGTCTGTCTTTGCTCTTCTGAGGATGGTGTGGCTCCCCGCCCTGACCTCAGGAAGAGAGCACATTCGAGGGGAGGGGGTGTGGGTCCTGGCGAGATCTTACCCTACAGACTGCGTGGTCCCCAGCATTTCATTCCCTCTCTGGGCCCTCTCCATTGCCAGGTTCTCTGGCAGGACTTCGTCCCCCTCTGTTCCGCCCCCAAGCCATCCATCCTCTATAAGAAGGGAGCCAGGAGGCAGGGAAAGGCGTACAGCCTGTGAATCTGGGCAGGTCCCTGTGGGTGTCCCAGGGTTGCCAAGGGGCTCCTTGCCTGAACCAAATAATTAATAAATAAGAATCACTGAAGCCCAGACAGTGCTTACTGTGTACAAAGCCCTGCTCTAAGGGCTTTATAAAAGTGAGTTCACAGGAGACTCACAACAATGCTGGGAGGAAAGTGCTAGGATTATCACCCCCCTTTCATAGTCAAGGGATCTGAGGCTCAGAGAGGTTGAGAGCTGCCCAGCATCATGCAGTGAGGCAGCGGCCCAGATGGGAGCTGGGCACTACGAGTCTACCCCAAAGATGGCCAGGCTCCACACAACCAGGAGACAGACCAAGCGTGGATCTGGAGTTCAGAGCCTTGCATGCAAATTCCAGCCAACACTGGCTGGTGGTCACTTCCCTCTGAGCCTGTAAGCTTCTTCCTCTGTGTAAAGGTTATGGGAAGACCTCCCCCACACGGCTGCCTGCCGGGAGGATTAAAGAGTTGGGAAATCATGACTATAAAGTGCTGGGCCAGTGCCCCAAGCTTTATAAACACAACAGCTGTTACCCTTGGCATTCCTACCACCTGGCCAGTAACAGACCAGCTCTGGCTCTCTCCAGCTCCATCCTCCTGCCCAATCGGACCAGAGCTCATGGAGAGTGGGGAGGGGACTCCGGTCCATGAAATACCAGGATTAAGGGAGCTGTGAAGCTGACATCACATAGGCAGAGGAGGTGGAGAAGCACAAAGCACCTAGAGAGCCCCAGGGGTGGTAGGGGGAGGCAAGTCCATTGTCTGAAGGCGGGGGATGGGGGACAAAACATCAGACCCCGCCCACAGACACATGCACGCACACGTACACACGCACAGGTACACACAAATGCACTCATGCACCAAAGCCTCTGAAAAACTGTGTCCCCAGAGACACTCACCCACAGTGACTGGCTGAAAACTTGCAGGGACTTCAGGGGTAGACAGATTGAGCAGACTCCGGGCACCTGTCAGAAAGCACCGCTTATTCACCCAGCACACGTGCCTGAGCACCTGCTGTGGCAAGACCTTGTGCTAGAAACTGGACAGGACAGACAAGTGGCCTGGAACTGGGGGTGCATTCCTACAGGGGCTCCCGGCTGAGGAAACCTGCTTTTCCCACACCCCACAGAAGGAGGATCTCATGGATAATTGCTGGGGAGGTTTTTGGTTAGAATAAAGGGTTAATAAAAGAATTAGCCCTTCTTGCTGTTGTATAGTATATGTTATAGAAACATTCTGCTATAGCCCACAAATATTTCCCTTTTCTATCCAGTACTGGGTTTGTTCGTCACACCTGCCTCAGGAGGTGGGAAGCTGACATTCTCATCATAATCATAATCATTTGACAGGTAAGGGATGGGGCTTCCAGCATCCCTCGGTGAATATTATCTGGTTTCCTGGCTACCCTGTGAAGAGCCTCGTGTCAGCATCCACGTATTCACGAGACAAAAGCCTCCCAGCTGGTAATCAGCAGAGCTGGAATCGAAAGCCCGGTACATCTGAATTCCAAGAGTCGCTAACACTCTGTTCGGGTCTAATGCTCTCTCACATTTTTACACCTCTGAAATCGGGATCATGACATCCATTATTACAATTGATGGCATGTCAAGAGTTTATTTTGGGAGCATTTTTGTCCCTTATGGTACATAAAATAATAATGGCGTGACTTATAATCAGTGCCATCTTAGATTTGGTGAAACCCAGTCAAACCCAATTCATAGAGCAGATGTGAAGCTCAGATGAAATATATAGTGAGTGCCCAGCAATGCCTGGCATCTGATTAGGGCTCCAGACACTGTCACTGATACTGTTAGTGTCTCCTAATGTTATTTTTACGATGATCATCAGCCCTGGGATTGCATCTCCTGAGCCAGTTCTGGTCAACAGGGAACACTGCTTAGCATATAACAACACCTCAATAAAGATTTGACTCATGATTCTGGGGTTGATCTGGGGAAAAGAATGCCCCGATTAATTAGCAATGTCTGCTGGCCATGGTAAGGGCAATGGTCCCTCTTATGCCAGTATTTGCCATTCCTGACCTAGCTCAAGCTGTGGTCCTTGGCCTGTGAATTCTTAGGCTGTTGATTCAGGTGGCATTCCTAGTCCAGATCTGGGGATCGGGGGAGTGGGGGGGTGGGGAGGAGGGTACCTGAGCAGAGCACCCTGGCTGCCTGCGATTGGCTGCAGAGGTTGGAGTTGTTGTACCGCCAGGAGCAGTTGGCGAGGGTGGGCTCCCATCCCTCGCATGAGTAGTACATCTTGCCCGCCAGGGAGTGGGGCAGCCCCTTTGGCACCTGGGCCACAGTCCCACAGCCCAAATCCTGGCAGAGCACCTTGGCCTCCGGTGAGTACCACGTGCTGTCACATACTGTGTTCCAGACCCCTCGGAAGTATACCTCCACCTGCCCCTCGCAGGCATCAGCGCCCCCGGTCAGGCGCCAGGACTGGTGCTCTGCAGGGGGGGTAGGAGGGGTGCAGAGTCAGGTCAGGATCCTTTGGGGGGAAACCCCCACTAGCCCCGACCCCAAAATGCAAAATCCCCACAGCCAATCAGCGTCCAGCTCTTGTGTCCTCTCCCTCCTGCCTTTGCATCCCCCTCTCATCTGCGCATCTGCTCTGGCTGACCCTGCAGCTCAAAGTGTGGTTCTCGGACCAGCAGCTTCAGTATCACCTGGGATCTTGTTAGAAATGCAAAACGTCAAGCCCTGCCTCAGACTTACTGAATTAGAACATACACTGAACAAGACCTGCCTCCCTCCCATTCCTGGACACATTAAGAGAAGCACTGGCTGGACCAGAGCTTCCTTTTCTCATTTGAACTGCTGACAACCTCCTCCCCACCTCCCCACCTGCATCTTCCCTTGCTGCTCTGAACCTGGTGACCAGCTCCCACTCAGAAAGAGCCTGACCTCAAATGCCACCTACTCCAGGAAGTGGGCAGCCTCAACCCTCTGGCTCTGGGTTGCCTGCTGCCTCTTAACTCCACCTGACTTCCTTTCTTAGGCATTTATCACTGTCTTTCCTGGATTTGTCTGAATCTCATCTCCCTTCTCGGACTGTGACCTCCCACGGGCAGGGACCATCTCTCCAGCACTCAGCACTCACGGCAGGCCTGGCGCCCAGTAAGCCTACAGTAAGTGCTGAATCGTCGTGATTCAGCGTCACCCACTGACCTACCTGAGCACACCACGCCAGCGTCCTCCTTGTGGCCACAGTAGCCGTTTCCCGGCAGCCCCAGGCAGTCCCAAAGGTAGTCCTCTGACCCGGAGCAGTTCACTTGGTCGCGGTGGATGGGTCCTTGGCCAGGGGCGAAGTGCAAGCCGGGCAGGGCCTCGACTGCCCAGCCGCAGCTGAGCTGCCGGCAAACCACGTGGGCATCCTCCAGGTCCCACGTGTCGTCACACACTGAACCCCACTGGCCGTGCTCCAGCATCTCCACGCGGCCTGCGCACGAGCTGCCACCACCCACTAATCTCAAATCGCGATTTTCTGGGGATGGGAGAAGGAGTTTGTGGATGGGGGAGAAAGAAGGAGAAGGGAGGGGGTAGAGAATGGTCAGGACCGGGCAGGAGAGATATGCCTGAGGTTGTGGACCCAGTAAGAGTGGCTGATAACCTAGTGGGCAAGACTAGGGAACTCTGATAGACTGGGATTTCAAAATTGTAGAATAGATAAACAAGATTACACTGTATAGCACAGGGAAATATACACAAAATGTTATGATAACTCACAGAG